CTATTGAAGTAGGACTACAAATCTTACAAAACCTTTTTATGTGGACTACAAAAAACTATTCCCAACTAAAATTCTCAAAAGAAAATAAATTAGTTTAAGTGATACAGGTAGCTCTTGAATTAAGATTATCCGCATCACATAAATACTATAAAATAAATTACATGGAGAGGGGATATCTTTAAACAAGAGTTCTAGAGTAATGCAACGAATAACCTACCTTTTAAAGTAACGAATTGTTTAGTTTATAACTACATATCGTATATATTTAAAATTTATTGTTATATGTAAAGTAGTATTCAATAACAGTTTTTATTGTAGTTCAGATCATATTTCATAAGTTCTTTCAATTGTCAAAGTTATTTCAAACAATGTAGCTAAAAGTTAGAAGACTTATCTATGATAGTTTTCTGTTATCACATGTCATCATTCTGGTTACAATTCAGATATAAGTTAGATATTTTAATAGTCAAACTTATCATATATTCGTAGCTGAAAGTTAAACATTAATTCATAGATTTAATGTTTTAGAATTTTTGTTTCTCTAATTATTATTGTGTTTTTTTTAAACACGTACAAAAGGTGCGTAAATATAAAGATAGAACAAATAAGATTTAAAAGCTATTAGTACGAGGCGTGTTATAAAGTCCTTCAAATAGGGCTTGTCAGTACTAAACAAACTTTTTGCGTTGTTATCTTAACCCACATTTATTTATTAAACCACTGAAATATATATGTAACATCAATCTTAATAAACTATCCTCATAAAAACTGACCTTTCTCAAAATGGAAGTAAACTTATTTAATTAAACTAAGTTATGAAATAACATATTTTATAATTTTATTTAATTAAAAACTTATCAACAATGAGTCGCCTATACACGCCTATAATTCTTAGTATTACAAGTACGAATATAAGTTCTATTTGTTATGATTATATTGTAGTAATGCAAAGTTAAATATTTTTGCTAAATGTGAAATTTTTGCAATTAAACACACCTTTAGCAGTTACCGAAGCATGTGTATTCATTTGTCATTCTATTATTAATAGAATAAAAGTTCTCTAATGTTAGTCTGGAAAGTCGGCCTGTTGCTGATGTTCTCCTATTGAAGTTTCGTGTTAATATGTCTCACTTAAAACATACGTTAATAAATGGCACCAATTTGCTCGCACTCATAGAATCAGATAAATTATGTGCTGGCATTTGTGTGATGTTGTCTTTTGAAGAGCTGGTACCGACACTTTGCTGACACACTTTACACATGCGACACTTTTACACTTTTGTTTCTATTATTTCTCTGCGCCCCTATTTACAATGGGTTAGTGCTAGCTAGCGCCTCCCTCCATAAGCCACAACAACTTGTAATGTGATTATACCAAGGGGGTTTCATTTTACACATTGCCACAAATTTGTTGTGTTATGATTTGGTCAGTTTTAATTTTTAGTGTATTTTTCTGCTACTTGAGTAACTTACGAGTATAAGTACATCGCATTGAGGGTGAAAGTACTTTAGACTTTATTTCAAATTCTACTTTGCTTTAATTACATATTTATTTCTACACTTTGTATATCGTTTTACTTAAAGTGTCATTTCTCACAATCCGGAAACATTGTCAACTTATCTTATCAATCTTTGAATTATTTATTTTTTTTTTAATATTATTTTACTTTACTGAAGGTTTTCTTGCTCGAGATAACCGCAAGCAAGCCATCCACTAATCCGCAAATTGTTAAGATTGCAGCAACTCTTCATCTTGCAGTGATGATGAGATTTTTGAGATTTTCTCAAGCTCAAGTTAGCGTGTGACTTCAGTTGCCCTAAGTATATGCTAATCTGTAGTTTGTCATTTTGACTGCATAAAATGTTGTCTCCATTTGTATCTGATTTACTCATATACTATAACGACTCGAACATCATCATAAACATTTGTGGTGGCACTGTCGACTTCGCTCATCTAAGCTCCACTATAAACTTTGTTTTTATTTGCATTCAACTGAGTGCTTTTTTTACCTCACCATATAGCGGCGTTTATTGTGTATTTCAAGTGACTATGAATCTTACATATAAGAAATTCCCATGATTAAATCTGGTAGACCACAAAAATCTACAATTTCTGCAGTTAACTGCTGTATATTGTTTTCCATCTTCATAAATAAGTTCACTAAAAGTTGTCTACTTTCTATATCTCAACTAAAAATTATTATTTTTTTTCTATTATTATTATTGCGTTTATGCATTTTTAATAACTTTTTTGTTTTATGATGCTTTTTACATAGTAAAGATTTCATGTTCCATTAATTTTTTCTTAACTTTCAAAATCAAAACAAAAAAAAAATAAAACATTAAATACGTAACTCTGCATTGCAACACAAAAAGCAAAATAAAAAAAAATATGAAAATATATAATTTAATTTATTTAAAAAATTAAATTTATTATTTAAATTAATTATTAGCATAAATTTCACTTAATTTATTTTTATTGATATATAATAAAATTAATAAGTTTAATTAATTAATTTATTTTCTTTCTTCTCTTAACTGCTTCACAGACGACTAGTGAAAAACTATCAGCCCAAGAAAAAAGAGGAGGAAGATAATGAGTAAGTATTTATGCTAAATGGTTAAGTTAGCTAGGTTAAAGATACAAATCTAATCATACATTCCAATTAATTATATTATGACAACATATTTAATTTCGAAATAAACGAAAAAAAATCAGTTGCATATTGTTAAGCACGTATTTATTTTAGTTTATAATTTATTATTGGCTATTCGCCAATGCTTGAAAAATTTGGCTGCTATTTTCGTATTATATTTTGAAAAAACCATGAAGCACAGTAATAAATTTATTTATATATAAAATATGTATAGATTTTATAAGTATAAGTACATAAATACACTTATTCTTATATATTAAAAAGAAAAAAAAATATCTAAAAAGGAATTGTAGTTGCATTTTAGTGTTTCCAGTTTAAAAAGCAGTATATTTTGTGTTCAGATAAATTAACTTTAAGAAAATCGAAAGAAATAATCTTGTTTTGAAATATAATAAATAGAAACATAGCAGTCATATTTTTTATTTTATTAACAAGCATATGTTATTATATATATTACTATTATTAGAAGGGCGAATGTTATGTTGGGGCATATTAGAGAATATGCTCGCTCAGCGTCTAAGCTGGCAAGATTTTTACATACATTTTCATAAAATGAGGTTAGGTTACAAAATGATAAAAATTATTACATACAATTTATAGTTTTAAACATTCATTAAAAATTTATAATTTAAAATTTTTTTAGTCATCTTTTGAGTATTTATTTAACTTAATTTAGTTTTACATTTAGAAAAACAGATGGTTTATCTGTTTTCTTTGATCTTTATAAGTTCTGCATATTTCTTAATGTAATGTCACTGACTTAAAAAAGCATACAAATAATTATTCTCTATTTTATGTATAATTTATTTTCTACTACATTATTATAACTACTCATATTACTTCTCCTGAATGTTATTGAGAAATATATTATCTCATAAAATTATAAATTAGCATTTATTAGATTAGTTTGCCATCTTACTAGTGAAGAATTGGGGTTGTTACGTTAGCTTAGTTTAATAGCAAACTTTATTAATAGATTTTTTCAAAGTCAAACATAACGAAGAAGTTATTTTAAAATAGAAAATGCATAAATATGAGTAATGCATTGCATGACAAAAAACATATTCTTTTAAATTTCCATTTTTGTTTTCTCCCATTATTGTTACAGTGGTCCTCATTAGTGGTCCTTGGATCTTTTTTTAAATTTATATTGCTATATTGATTACTCTATATATTTCTTTGGCCAACACATATTTCTGCTCATTAAAATACTTATTAGAATATTCAATACTGCAGCATGATAAAGCAGTCATAGAAATAAATCGGAAGTATTTAGGTTAATATTTGTCTTAACGGGATACTGGACTATAGGACAGCATAAGTTAAGATCAAATCTGCTGTAGTGCGTGTTCGCCAACACTCGAACAGTACTTGTCTTGTTTATGTGTAAGCTTGTCCAGGCTTGCGCAGAACCAGACTTAAGCTCTTCGGCGTCCTACTCTTTAACATACTCAGTTATATTTCCAATATTTACATTGACTAGATTCTTACCATGAATGCGTCCGGCTGATTCTAATATACCTATCCTTCTACCCAATATTACGAGTGATCTGGAATTAAAATTAATTTCTTAACTAATTGTTGAGGACTCTTTCATCCTTTTATTTCATTTACTTATCTATGGTTATTTATAGCGAATAACCACTAGACCTACACATCCATAGTGTGTGAAAAATAAAGATCACCATGTAAATATTAAGGTTTACATTTGCATTGAGAGGGTATTCGCTATACAAATAAATATGAGTTCTAGTTTTTGTATACACGCAAACTCAAATAGTCCTTTTTTTGTTGTTGCTGTAGCAGTCAGACATGACAGGTCCACCACCGGTTCTAGAAATACCTACTTAAACTGATTTTTTGTATGGTTGAAATAAGTTGGAAATTGTGACTGTATTTGAAAATCTATCACGTAGAAAATAATCTCTGCATATCAATGCATTAACTATATGAGTATTTCAGAAAAATATGTGTACATGATGATTCAGTATTGTTTTACGTTGAATATAATAAATAGAAATATAATTTTTAAGAACTTATTTGCAATTTTAAAATATAAATAACGTATATAAATCTATAATACGTTAACTTTATTAAATAAAAACCTTAATTACAAACACTACAGACATATTTTTCATACTCATCTCTCAAAAGTTCAGTGACCATATTACACGCTGACAAAAGCAAAAATGCATTAACCAAATTTTTTATTTAAAAAAATTTTTTTTTAAAACAAACAAAAAAAAAAAATAAATAAAAACTTTTGAAAATATTTATTTTATTTTCTTGCAGTTTTTTATGTATATTTTGCATCATTATGACGCATCAATGCATTTCGTATTTTCTGTATAATTAGCAAAAATTTACATATTGGACTAAAGTGATATACGTGCGTTTTTTTTTTTTGAAACATAAAAAAAGTGTAAATTTTAAAATTCTGGCGCTAAAATTTAGTTTAAATATCATAAATGACATCATTTTGTCCTCGATTGTAAAAACGTTCTTTGCATTTTAATTAAAATATTGAACAATATTTGTAAATTAATAAAAATTCCAAACCAATTTTTAACTGCCATATCAAATGTATAAATATGGTTTTTATTCCTTAAAATACTTTTTCTATTATTCGCATTTTGAATAAATTATGCAAAATGATTATTAATTCAATTTAGCATTTGCGTGCTTTTAAAAGTATTTAAACTAATTTTAATTATATATCAATGTGTGTTCATTTTTATATATTTTTAATTTTAATAGTTTCAATTAAAAGTAATTACACTTAAACTTTGAATATTGAAAACACTTTGAATAGTTATTTTCTTAAAATTTTAAATTTAAATTTAATTTTTGTTTGTGTAAATCTTTTGATTTCTACAACAACGATGATTTACACAACAATTAAAAAATATTATAACAATAATTTTCATTTTGTTTTTTATAAACGGAGATACACAATTAGCTGTGTCTTTGTGATTAGCTATGGATCTCTAAAATCCTGAAATAATTTGTCACGACTTAATCTATAAAAAAATGAACTCCTATATTTTTCTTCGTCTTTCGTATATTATTCTGTCTTCCACTATGTTTTCTAGTTCAGTCAGCCACTGTTGATTCACGACTTCAGAAATGCTTGACATCAAGCTAAATTTTGATGATGGTTAGATAATTCAATTTTACAACAGCGGCTCTGAAGTTCACAGGTTTTATTATTAAAAATCAAATTATAAATAACAATAAAAACAGCTGGTTTTAAACATCATTTGATTTTAAATTAAATAAAAATTAAAAATGTAAACTTTGATCCTACAAAAAAATTATTAGTTGCTTTTCAAAAAAAAAAATTTTTTATACTGTGAGTAAACATTTTGCCCTTTTTCAACACATAAAGTTAAATAGTTAAAACATAACCTATATTGTGAATTAGGTTATAACAACAGCTATTCGTATTAACGTTAGAGTCAAATCCGTTTATGTATTTATTTAAGATTTTATATTTTACTATTACCAAAAACCTCTATTTTCATATATTTTATATATATTGTTTTAGAAAATGTAGTATAAGCATTAAAAAAATGTGTTAAATAAATACAAATAAACATGTATGTATTTGTTAGTAGTAGTGTTAATTTTTTAATTAATAAAATTCAAGTTCTTTGCAAAATTAAACATTTCCATATTAAAATATATTCTGTAAAGTTGAATGTTAACTCATAACAGCGTCCCAACATTATGTTAAAATCTAACGACTGTTAGATTTTTTAACAGAAGCAGTTTGTATGTTTTTGGTTCTATGTTAATGCGATGTTTTTGGCAGTTTATATTTTATGGTACTGCCATGTGAAAAAAAAAATTAATTTTATTTTAAAAAGGCTTAAGTAATATTTTCTATTTTCTTTAATAAATCTTCAATGCTTACAATAAAATAATAATTAAAAAGAATTTTATAGTCACACATTATACAAATTAAAGTTAAATATGTAGTTATTAAAATTATACTAGCTATTAACAGACGCGTATCATAACAACTTTTTGAGTACATATAACATATAGTAAAAAATTTATAAAAATTTTAATTTCAAGATGATGATATCGCTATACTATAAACTACTAAATGTTTTTAATAAATAAAAAGGCATAGAGAGGGGTTATGAAAAAATCTGGCAGTTAATGGAGTGTAAAAGTGGTCAAGTGCACCGACTTAACTAGCCTCAACATAATAAATAATATTTTCTTGAAATTACCTAGATTGCATAAATTGTTCAAATTGATTTTTAAAATTCGTTTTCAATAGAAAGATATTTCGAACAGTAGTTAATTATAATAATAAAATTTTATTATTTACTAATTAGGACACGAGTTCAACTCTTGGTACTTGCAGTGTCAAATAATTATTTACAAATAATTAAATACAAGAAATAATTCCAAGACCACTGATGATGGGTATGTGGCAATACTCCAAAAAAACTTTATGATCTGCCAAAAACTAAATTGATTAATAAATAAAGTTGAACTAAGATTGTTTTTCAACTAAAAGTTGAGAAAACTTTAACAGTAATATTAGGCCCACTACTTTTATTTAAAGGACACTAAAATGAAAACAAGTTAGCAAATGAATACAAGTCAGAATACAAATAGTAGTATTCACAATCTTGAGTAACGAGCTCAGTAACCGAGTAACAAAAAAAATATATTTACTTAAATTATATTTTGTTGATATCCGAACCGAATCATCATGTTATTCGGTTACTCAGATTCCTAGTTAAGATGGCAAATCCATTAATGTTCTTGTGTAACTACTTTAATATCCTATCTGAAAGCAAATCTTATAATGTTAAATTTTTAAAATTTTAAATAATTGTATTATTCATTTCCTTTTCAGATTCTCTTCTTGGCAGGCATTTCGAAATGTGCTGAAAGAAATCGGTGATTTAGCGGGACAACGTGAAGTTGTTGCTGAATCACTACAATTACAAATTATACAAGCGGTAACGCTGCTATCAAAAACATTAAGAGAAGAAAGAAAAGTGAGTGTATTTATGACATATTTCCCATAATACAATAATTGTAATATAATGTATTTTTTTTTTCACAGAAATGTTTAAATGACGGCACAACACTACAACAGAACCTTAATTATCAATTAGGTGCACTAGAACGTGCAAAACGTAACTATGAAAAAGCCTATAGGGACTCAGAAAAGGCCATAGAAAGTTATAAAAAGGCTGATATGGATTTTAATTTAAGTAGAGCAGAAGTGGAACGGCACAAAAATGTTATGACCCAAAAAATACAACAGTCCGATGATGCAAAAAATGAATACGCAAATCAATTACAAAAAACAAATAATTTACAACAACAACATTATAATGTGATGCTACCTGCGGTAATAAAAAACACCATAACTATTTTATTAAAATAAAAAATAAAAAATATTAATATGAAATATTCTCTTTAGGTATTTAATCGTTTACAAGAGTTAGATGAGAAACGGACTCGAGGTATACGGGAGTTTATAGTTGGTGCTGCTAAAGTTGAATCAGAGGTAGCACCTATAATAGCTATATGTATGCAAGGTATTGTTAAAGCCGGCGAGTCAATAAATGAAAAAGAAGATTCCTTTAAAGTCATAGAGAGGTTAGTGAGAATTATTTAATTTAAATAATGTTAACTTCAGTAATAATTTATTTAATAACTTCTCTATATAGGTATCAATCTGGTTTTACGCCACCAATCGATATACCGTTTGAGGATTTATCTAAACAAGATCACGATACATCACAAGATTCACACTACAGTAATATGCAGTCAAACCATTTAACAATGAAAGGCACTATGAGTGCGAATAAACTTAAGAAACGTGTAGGAATATTCAATATATTTGGTAGTAATAAGGTAAATATTTTACATATTTATTATATATAAAAGACTGCAAGTTTCTTTTTAAAATTATGTATTGACATTTCTTTTAAGTCTAAATGTTTTTTTTTTTAATTAGGAATACGCCTAAATTTTGTGTATTTAATTGTTAACTTTACAAATATAAATGAATTAGTTATTATACTTCGGAAGTGTTTCTAAATATTTTTTTATATATCTACATAAAATTTAAATTATTGTCGTGTTAATATAAAAAAAATTTGTCGTAATATAATAGCCACTTTGATAGTTTGATGAAAAGATTAAAAATTTTATTTAATTTAATAACTTATATTGATAGTAAAATAATAGTATATGGTAATAGGAAATAATTTTTTTATTTTAGAAATAATTAAATTAAATAAATAATTTAATGTAGAAAGAACATTTAAAAACCAAAACGTAATTTTTGAATTAATGATATCTACCTTATGTTAATTTACATCTGCAAATAGCCAAAAAAAAAATGAAATTTTGTGCCTGAAATAATTGAATATTATTATAAGTTGTTCGTCAAACTGATATTACTATATAGTGTAGATTTTTTGTGGTTATCGCTCGAAATGACGAGTAAAACCATGAAATTAGTTTGAATCATACTCTGAAAAATATACTCATACCACTTTTGCATTCTTAATAAAGTTAAAGATATCTCACAAGAGGTGGACTATCGCATAAGACTTAACAAATTTTGTTGGTTATTAACCCATCTAAAACTAGGCATATAATTAATTTTAATATTATCGAAATCTGTAATATTGTTCATGTTGTTAGCAATAGAAAACACAGGCAGTAAGTCGAATTTCTAACATCTCGACGAGGTTAGGTGTGGCCGCTGCTACGAGAAAGGGAGAAAATTAAAGTACTATTAGTAATGAATATAGGAATTTGAATATGATTTTCAAAGCTAATAAATTTATTTGACTGATGCAAGTAGTTATTGAATTACTTAAACTGTGAGGAACGGTGTCACATAACATCAGTCTACGAATAA